ACGTATGACACCATGGATGTTACATTCTTTAAGCAAGAAATTTTCTTCTCCATGCCTAACACCCCTTATATGTTCTTTAGGGGGAGACACCGATTGAAGAACTTTAGTGATGTGATCTTGATAATGAGGCAGTGGTTGCGGACCATGCAATAGGAAAAGGAGCATCAACCTACGACCGAAGGCGCTATCTTTGCCGAAACAAATATTGGTCCGGAAGTGCACCGAGTCCATTGCGAGAGTAAATAGTTGCATCGAGTTCATCTCAGGAAAACTAAAAACTAATACTTTATTGTTATAAATAGGAAAAAGTTAGAGAAGTTAGAGAAATAACTTTTGCTCAGAGCGAGAGCGAAGCGGGTGTAATATATCACATTGTTTTGTTTATTAACTATAACAGAATGATTGTAGGTAAAAGAGAAATAGAAGAAAGCAGAAAATATTCTAACTTATCTTTCTTCTCTTATTGCTTTTGTATCCGTGTGTTTTGAACACTTGTAGTGCTTTATTTATATAGCAACTACCTTGAAAACTTACAAAAACTTCATTATTTAGCATATGAGTCTTTACTGTATACATGTGGGCAAACACACCCACTGTTTACAACACTTCCCCTTGGATGCCCACATATCAACATCAGTTGCCTCGTTAAAACCTTGCTTGGAAAAACCTAGTGGGAAAAAGCCATAGCGAAGGAAAAAGAGTACAACTTTACTCGGATTATTGATATGGTGTTAAGCATGCTTATGTTGCCTCGTTAAAACCTTGATAGGAAAAACCCAATGGGAAAAATCCTAATCGAAGGAAAAAGAGTACAACATGCATGTATCATGGATGCTCCCCCTAAATTGTATCTCCCCCTGATTCCACATTCTTCAAATTTGTAAGCCGATGTAATCCGATTATATGCACTAACTTCTGAAATGTGCACTTTGGAAAAGATTTGGTGAACAAGTCTACCAAATTTTCATTGGAACGGATTTGTCTGACTTCAATAACTTTAGCCTTCTTAAGCTTATGTGAACTAAAAAACCTTGGAGATATGTGTTTAGTTTTATCACCCTTGATGAATCCTTCCTTCATCTGGGCAACACAGGCTACATTATCTTCATGGATGACAGTTGGAGTGTCTGTCTTTGAAGGTAGATCACATGAATTCTGAATGTGATGGATCATCGATCTTAACCAAGAACATTCACGACTTGCTTCATGTAAAGAAATTATTTCTAAGTGATTGGAAGATGTAGCAACTAATGTTTTCTTCATTGAGCGCCATGAAATTGTTGTATCTCCATTAATGAACACATATCCAGTTTGTGAGCGGGCTTTATGCGGATAGGAGAGAAAACCAGCATATGCGTATCCAACAAGGATCTGGTCATTTGTGGACTTGTCTAAGTAGAAGAGACCCATGTCTATTGTCCCACAAAGGTATCGTAGAACATCTTTGACTCCCTTCCAATGATGAATTGTTGGAGCAGAGCTATACCTGGCTAACAAGTTTATGGAAAAAGATATATCTGGTCTAGTATATTGTGCTAAATACAATAAAGCACCTATTGCACTCAAATACGGTACTTATGGACCAAGGACCAGTTCATCATCTTCTTTTGGACGTAATGGATCTTTCTTAATGTCCAAAGAACGAACGACCATTGGGGTGCTAAGTGGATAAGCTTTGTCCATCCAAATCGCTTCAGTATTTTTTCAATGTAAGCTGATTGATGGACCAAAATTCCATTAGCACAATGCTCGATCTGCAGGCCGAGATAATACTTTGTTTTCCCAATGTCTTTCATTTCAAATTCACTTTTCAGATACTCAGCAATTTTATTGAACTCTTCAGGAGTTCCAACTAGGTTCATATCATTAACATATACTGCCACTATAGCGAAACCAGTATTTAATTTCTTAATGAACACATAAGGGCAGATGACATTGTTGGCATATCCTTCTTTGATCAAATACTCATGGAGACTATTATACCACATTCGCCCAGATTGTTTCAGCCCATATAATGATCGCCTTAATTTGATTGAGAACATACCTTGTGGTTTGTTAGTCATTTCATGCAACTTAAGTCCTTCTAGAACTTTCATATATCTGTCAGTATCTAATTCTCCATATAGATACACAGTGATGACATCCATAAGTCGCATATCAAGTTTCTCTGAAACCACTAAACTTATTAAGTAACGAAACGTAATTACATTCATTACAGGAGAGTATGTCTCTTCATAATCTATTCCAGGTCTTTATGAAAAACCTTGTGCAAAGAGTCTTGCTTTATATCTTGCAATCTCGTTTTTCTCGTTGTGTTTCCTTGTGAATACCCATTTGTAAACTATGGGGTTTAGACTACTGGTCCAAAAACACTTCACATTTCCAAGGAATTTAATTATGCCTGGATTGCATCTTTCCACTTAGGCCAATCATGTCTCTGTTTGCATTCATCAACAAAGCGGGGCTCAATGTCATCGCTTAATATGATTTCAGTGGCTACTGCGAAAGCGAACATATCGTTGATGATTACTTCAATTCGATCCCATAATTCATTAGTACATGCATAATTTATGGAGATTTCTTTGCTTTCATGTACTTCTGTCTCTTCAGGGACATGTGTCTCATCAAGGACATTTTCTTTTTCAGAAAATTTAGAATCATGAATTGGGGATTTATCATTCACTTTCCTTTCATGAATGATTTCATTTGGATTCAGCTGTGCCCTCATCTTTCTCTTTTGAATGGCTGAATATTTTGAACCCGGTGGTCTACCACGCTTCAGGTGTGCACAAGATGAATCATTCGCTACCACTTTATTTTGTCCAACAGGGACATCAATTTTTACAGGTGCATTTGCAGTTGGTATATGTGACTTTGTCACTTTCAAAGCATCATTAAATGCATCAGCAATACTTTGAAGATGAACAATCCTTTTCACTTCATCTTCACATTGAGTGCTTCGTGGATCAAAATGAGATAAGGTGGGAACAGCCCATGTCAGCTCTTGCCGTTCTTTTGGAACGGTCTTTCTCACCCTAACGACAGGAATACTGTCTCATCAAAGTGACAATCAGCAAAACGAGCTGTAAACATATCACATGTTAAGGGTTCCAAATATCTAATGATAGATGGTGAATCAAAATCCACATAAATTCCCAGTCTGCGCTAAGGTCCCATTTTAGTGCGTTATGGCAGTGCAATAGGCACATAAACAGCACAACCAAAAACTCGTAAATGTGAAATGTTTGCCTGATGCCCAAACACGAGTTGTATTGATAAGTATTAGTGGTTGGCTATGGGTCTCAACCGAACCAATGTTGCATCATGTAAAATGGCATGTCCCCATGCAGAGACTTGCAATTTTGTTTTCATGAGTAAAGTGTGAGATATTAATTAAAGCCGCTTGATAAATGCCTCTGCTAAGCTATTTTGAGTATGGACATGAGGAACAGAGTGTTCAACATCAATGCCCAATGTCATGCAATAATCATCAAAGGTTTGAGACATAAATTCACCAGCGTTATCAAATCGGATTGACTTAATGGGATAATCTAGGAATTGTGCTCGCAACTTAATTATCTGAGCAAGAAATCTTGCAAATGCTACATTTCAAATAGACAATAGGCAAACATGTGACCATCGGGTAGATGCATTAACCAAAACCATAAAATATCGAAATGGTCCACAAGGTGGGTGAATAGGCCCACAGATATCCCCATGAATTCTTTGCAAAAATGATGGGGATTCAACATCAACCTTTAGTTGTGATGGTCTAATTACCAACTTCCCTTGGGAACAAGCCTTGCAAGGGTTATCATTTGAGACATCAATGTGTCTGCTCAATAATGGATGTCCATTAGGGTTGGTAATGATTCTACGCATCATGGTAGATCTTGGATGACCCAGATGGTCATGCCAAAGCATATAAACTTTTGAATCAATGAACTTCTGGTTCATGACAGTATATGCCTCAATTGTCTTTATGTATGTATAATACAATCCACTCAATAAACCATGCAACTTCTCCAATATACGCTTCTGGGTATCATTGGAGGTAATGCATAGATATTCCACATTTTCTGCACTTTTTGTTTCAAAGTGGTATCCATTTAGACGTATGTCTTTAAAACTCAACAAATTTCGAATGGATCGAGTAGCGTACAATGCATTTTGTATGAACAATATTGTTCTATTTGGTAACATGATCTGGGCTTTTCCTGAGCCTTCAATTACATCTGATTGCCCTGATGTTGTTGTTACCTTTACTTTTGCAAGTATCAAGTTCGAGAAATACTTTCGATCTCGAAGTACTGTATGCGTAGTTGCGCTATCTGCAAGACAAAAATCTCCACCATTGCTCTTGTTTTTAGAATAACCATAATTTTTATCCATGCTCTCTGAGTAATGGAAATTATAGTTAAAAGCAGTTTATTCATACTGGAATACTACTTTTATTGAATTGAAAGTGCTAGCATTAAATCACAAGTGCAAAAAACAAGAGTACATCAAACATAAATAATTTAATCGGACCCAAACACTTCATTCCTTCTTTCAATAATAAAGTCTGAAACATCCATGTGGGTTGTGTTCAATTGTCCTGATAAATCGAACACTGGATCAGGTATATCCATCTATTTAGCCTGGTCGAGGAAATTGGTCTCGACACCCTTCTCCTTGAGGGAGGCTTGATACAAATCCACCAGATGTTTTGGGGTACGACAGGTACGTGCCAAGTGCCCATTGCCACCACACATATGGCAAACTCCTTTAGGATTTCTAGGAGTGTTCATATGAGCTTTGCCTTTCTGACGATTTGCATTTTTAAAGCTCGGGCCTGTATTATGCCTTGGAACCTGGTTGTGAAACTGGACACCATGGTTCTTGCCCTTTCAGCCTTGCTTATGGCCACGTCCTCGTTTGTAATTATTGCCATGAATGGATGTAGTATTCCCTTCAAGGGAAGCAACATTCACTTATGGGAATGGTGTTGATCCAGTAGGTCAAGACTGATGATTCTTCATTAGAAGCTCATTGTTTTGCTCAGCTACAAGGAGCACAGATATCAACTGGTTGTACTGAGTAAAGCCTCGCTCTCTATACTGCTGCTGCAAGAACACGTTAGAGGCATGAAAAGTGCTGAAAGTCTTTTCCAGCATGTCTTCCTCAGTAAAGGTTTCTCCACAGAGCTTCAACTGGGAGGTAATTCTGAACATAGCAAAATTGTACTCAGCCACCGTCTTAAAATCCTGGATCCTTAGGTGAGTCCACTCATAACGAGCGCTTGGAAGAATCACCGTTTTCTGATGATTGTATCTATTTTTCAGTGCCTTCCAGAGGGTTAGTAAATCTTCAACCGTGAGGTAATCGCTCTTCAGTCCCTCATCAAGGTGGCGACAGATAAAGATCATGGCCTTTGCCCGATCTTAAAAGGATGCACTGTTATCCTCCTTAATAGTTTCTCCAAGATTCGCTGCCTCCAGATGAATCTTGGCATCCATTACCCAGGTAAGGTAATTTTTCCCTGTAATATCCAGGGCAACAAAATTAAGTTTTGCCAAGTTCGCCATTTTCTTTTCTAAAAGAAAAATGAGGTATGTAAGAACTTGCAATAATTTGTATTCTGGAGGAATATATTGTTAGAACTTCTGGCTCTTACAAATTTTTCATTTTGATCTTCAGGCCAAATTGATAAACACTTGAAACTTCAGGTTCGAGATTTACATGATGAATGAGGAGGGCGATTGTACCGCACCATTCTCATTGAATAGCATATGATGGGCAATTATTCCGCACCACTCAAGCAGTAGAAATTTAAATATGTAGAGCAGGATGGGTGATTATACCACACCACCTAAAATTGCAATAAAATTAAATAGCAGGCAAATTTAAATATGCAGGGTAGGGTTGGCAATTTTATCGCTCCACCTAAAATTTGCAGTAAAATTAAATCAGCAGTCCAAGATGGGCGATGATACCACACCATCTTTGATCGAAGCAAAGATAAATAAACATTGGGTTAGAAATTAGGAACTGCACCAAACAAGAAATCAAAGATATACGTAACTGTTATGTTGAGAACTAAAAGCAGGCATGGTGCGAACAATTCTTCACGAGGGTATATCCAGCAGGTGAGGCAGAGGAAGAAGAAGAACAGTAAAATCCTTGAAGGAAACATTTTTTGTGATAGCTCGTCCCGAGATATTTTTCTTGATGGCGTGAAATGTCGATTCTACCCTTGAAAGTTGAGTTGTGGGTTGTGTAAATAAGCTAAGAAATTAAACAATTGAGTTTACTTATTTTCTTCCTAACCTTTTGGACCCAATTAGAACTAAAGGTTCTAATTGTTTTGGTTGGTTGTAAGAAAATTTGGACCACACACACATTATCTCTCCCGTTGACTCCTTTTCTCTCTCTTCCCTCTCGGTTTTCTTCTACTTTCCGTACAAGCGTACGGACGAACTTCAAACTCTCCCTTCCAGTCATGGATCAAGGCTGTGAAGGTAATCTTTGTGATCCTTGTGAGCTCAGGAGCTCACCTATACCCTTGGTTAGGCGTGAAGACCTTATTTTCCCGAGAACCGAAGAACCCAGTTTTGGGTTACTGTTCATGTGATCGTGAATGTGAAGTTTTTAGAAGATTTTAAGCTACTAGTGAGCTTTAGGATGTCTTCGTGAAGCTCGGAGAAGAAAAACAAAGTGTTTTGGATGTCAGGAAGTCAAGTATGGCAAGTTTCAAGTTTGGCCAGATTATCGAGGTTCCTCCGGCGAAATCCCGTGGATTTCAAGGCTTGAAAGTGGTAAGGTTTTGTTCTCCTAGTCCTAAGCTTCATTTTGAGAATATTCCATTAACGGAATATTCCTAATAGCAGTTAAGTTTCAATTAAGGTTTGGCCACACGTGGGGGCGCATCTGGCCGTGCCTTGGCCGGCGCGTGGGAGGTTGAAATTTTTTTCTAAAAATATAGGAATGTTCCTGAGGTTGAGTAGCTCATGGTGGTATATTCAATATCCCATTTAAGCTTTGTATGAGAAGTTATTTCCTAGTTTTGTGTATGTGCTTAAAATAATGTTTATTTAGTTATTTCGCATATAGGTGAGACTTATCCTGAGGACGAGCGCCATCAGTCGAGGCTCGGGGGCTACGACCCTTCGACATATCAGTGAGTGGTCTTTTGGTTTTCCGTATATACCTATATACTTGAGATTTTTCCCAGAAAATGAATTTGAATGATTATATGTTGTGAAATGCCATTCAAAGTATCTGTCTATTTTATTATACATTAGTAGTTGCATATATTTATGATTGGTGTTGCGGATGCACAGGTAAGTGCCAGGTGAGTTTATAAATTAAAGGTATGAGATTGTTTTAGTTATGCAATATTTGATGTGATGTATTGAGAGCTCATAAACCTGCACCCCGGTGTTAGTGCTCCTGCCCAGAGTTAGGGCACAGTCCTTCACGTGATGTTCACCTCCCGCACCATATGCTCGCCTTGGATCCAAGTTAGGTGCACAGGCTTGTCGTACATACCACTTTAGGTGGTTCCAACTCGTAGGTGACCCGCGATTATTCGCACAGGCTCCATGTGATCGTAGCACTAGAGCATATTTATTTTACACCTAGTCTTGTCGTACATACCACTTTAGGTGGTTCGGCCTCGTGTGCAGGATTTGATTTGATATGATTTAGATTGGTTATGAGCTATATACTCGGCCGTGCAGATTGAGTTAGAGGGATTTGGCTAATGCGATATTTGATATTGATATATTTTACCTGGATTATTTATAGCATTGCATTGAGATACTTTGGCATGGTATACTTCTTTGGATTTTCACCTTGAGTATGATTCTGATACAGCTTATTATTATTTTTCTAGGAAAATTATACAGGTTTTACGGTTAGGGGTTAGAACTTTTGAGAAGTGAAATGATTGTGAAAAGCTTTGTTTTTTCCCACTCACACCTTCTGTTTTGCGCCCCTCCAGGTTTTAGGTAGAAGTGCTTTGGTGGATCGCGGGGATTTCGACGGTGATTCTGACAAAACATCGTAAATGTAGGATCACCCTTGGGTGTTGTGTAATTGGTACTTGTCCTGCTTGACTGCACTTAGGATATTTATGCTTTGGTTGAGTGTTTCACACTTAATCTCGCACTAGCACTTTATCTTATCTAGTACTCTAGTTTATTTGGTTTTTATTTATTCGTAATTCCTTTTATCTCTATTGATTCCGTATTGTGCACATGGTTACGTCACTCCCATATGACGGCCAGCATGCCTCAATCTAGGTCGAGGTATGTCAGTTTAAATTGTCACATCCCGGCCCGGGCCCCCACACATCCCGAGCTCGACTCCACCGTAGCACGATATTGTCCACTTTGGGCCCCGACCACGCCCTCACGGTTTTGTTTCTAGGAACTCACACAAGAACTTCCCAATGGGTCACCCATCATGGGATTGCTCTCGTGCGAACTCGCTTAACTTCGGAGTTCCGATGGAACCCGAAGCCAGTGAACTCCCAAAATGTCTCGTGCTAGGTAGAGATGGGAATATACATATAAGGCTTACAGGATCCACTTCCCTGGGCGATGTGGGAGGCTACAATCCACACCCCTTAGGGGCCTGACGTCCTCGTCGGCACACTTCTGGCCAAGGATTGGCTCTGATACTAAATTGTCACATCCCAGCCCAGGCCCCGACCATGCCCTCACGGTTTTGTTTAATTTTGCTGTACACATGTGTCTCTACTGTATAGATGTGGGCAAACATACCCACTGTTTAAAACATTTATCTAATTTTGATGTTGTTGAGCACTCTTATTATTTGCCTCCTAGACAGAATCGTGGCAAGCCACTAGTTAGGTATTCACCAAGGGAAGATTAGGTATGCTATTGCTTATTTCGTATCTGCTTATCGACTCTCACCACAGTACAAGGCAATGGTAAGCCAAATGGTAGCGAGCTTGTTTGGATGTGCTTTTAAAATGACAATGACTGTAAGCGTTTTTGATAAAAATATTTTTGGAAACAAGCCTTAGTAAAAATGCTAATAAATCCTGGAAAATCATTTAAAATGCTTCCTAGAAAAAACACATAACTGGTATTTCTTGTAGAAAGCACTTAAAATGCTTTTGGAATTCAAAAATAGTTTCTCTAAAAGCGCTTGCAATCATTTAAAAAATGCATCCAAACGAGAACGGATTGAATGACATAATTAGTTATCGGAAAAAGTTTGGTAGGAAACTTGATTGTGTGATGTTTCGATGAAGTTATAAGTTTTCGCGTTATTTACGATTTTGTTTGGTCTTTTATTTTCTTGTTACATCCGATTTACTCAATCATTACATATAAAAAATTATTTTGAGTAATTACCTAACAAAAGACCCTATGTGATCATATAGGAGGAATTGAGAACTCAAGGACCCTTTTTAGTGGCTCGTCCCAAAAATTTTAGGACTGGCTCTAATCACATACATACTAACAAGCCTATATATTTACAATAAGCAAATACTGACACATTTCTTCATAAATCTTTCTGTGAAGATTTGGTACCACTGTAGTTGAAGTTGATTAATTACTCTAATTAAGCCCCCATATTAGTAGGTTTTAAGCATTCTAAACTATGTATTACATCTACTTTTCGGCCCATCACAGTCGACATGGAATAAATTATAAACAATCTAGGGTTGGCAAAATCCATCACCATCACCATCACCATGCCCTTGTTATTCCCTGGCTACAAATCTAACCCTATCTTCATTAACTTTGTGTTTTTGTCAAAGATTTAAAGCATACGTCTTTTTAGGTTAGGTATGATTTACCAAAGATTTAATGCTGCATTCGTCATTACTTTTCAGTAAAAAAGTGGGAGGCAAAATATTAAGCGTTACATTTGTGCTTCATCCAATTAGGGTGGACTAGATATTCATACAAATTTATATAAACATATATACGGTTTTTTTGTTTTTTTTTTAACAAATGAAAGATATACTAAATTAATCTCAACTGCGGAGAAGAAAATTAAAATTCAAGTGTGAAGGGTTGAGCAAACAGTTCTAACCAACTTAATTAAACCTAATTACTTGATGAAACCTAATGTGAAGATTCAAAATACTTGAATTAATTATGCATAAATTAATCTTGGTTTTAAAACATATAACTTCTGTGTTAATTTATATTAGAGATTCTTTGGCAATTGGCATGTTGACTAACAATGCTTGTCTAGCAGACCAAATCCAATGTTTGCAATTGATTTATATTTTCGTCTAGAATAACAAGCTATTGACTTGTAGTTGGTAGATGATGGTTTTATATATTATATGTGTATATAATATTTAATAAATTTTAAACATATGGTCAATCGTTTTAGTTATATTTAATAAAGTATTAATAATCATACAAACAGATATTTG